CCCTCACCCCCTGCGGGGCCCACCCCTTGTGAGCACACCCCCTCGGGGCCACAGGTTGTTGCGGGCGGGACGCGCCGGGCCTAACGCCCGCAGCGCCCCGAGCTCCCAACGCGGGCGCTCGTCCCGCACTCCCGCCACGACAGCACCACGGCCCATCTTAGCACCGCTGACATTTTATTTTTGCCTCTAGCTCGCCTGTCTCGGTTCAGCTCGTGGCGTGGCGTGGCGTCGTGACGCTGTTGTTGTGGCAGATTAAAGCGGGGGGATTCTGGGGAGGGAATCGAAGTCCTTGAGGCGAGAGGACGCCCAAGCTGAGTGTACACTGATGTAGATGTACACTGATTTTAAATCAATGTTGTGTTTCTAATTTCATTTGACATAGTTTACTTTATTGGCGAATTTAGGTTTGATTATATGCAAGCCCTGATAGCGCCCGGTAGGTAGGCAACATCTTGCCTCCAGTGCACGGGTGTGCTACGGGTTGCCTACACTGAGTCTCGCAGGCACCCAGCTCGCGTAATGCGCCGAATGACAAACGAAAATCGGACGTACTTTATTGGAAGGTCCGCACTTTTCTAACCCCTTCCGCTGCTACCGTCCTTGACAGGGAGCTCGGTGAAGGCGCGGCGGGAGTCGCAGTCGTCGTCGGGCTTCTCCGACTTCCGGTCGGACCTGGCGCGCCTCTGGACGTCCCGGCGCGACTCGATCCTGCACGGCACGCCCCGCGAGATCAACGCGCCGCTCCGCAAGCAGCAGGAGGAGAAGAAGATCCGCGACAAGCAGAAGCGCGCGGGGCGGCGCGAGTCGCTCGCGCAACAGCGCGATGCGTGCACCCAGGTACGGTTTTCCCCCATTTGTTTTTACGGATTTTCGATGAATGTCTATGATTTTTCTTTGTTTTTTTTTATTTCTAAATTTTCCTGTTACTTTTTGATTTTTCTTAGAGGGTGTACAGTAAATTTTTTAAAGTACCCACTTCAATTTCAATGTTTTCTTTGTTTGTTTTTTTCTACGAATTTCAACAATGGTATCTGTTTGATTGTAAACATGAACTTCCTTCCAGGATGACGGCCCCAGCGTTACGAGCCTGGGCGACGATGGGCCGGCGGCGCCGAGCGGGCGCAGGGGCTCGGGCGCGTCCACCGGATCGTCCAAACACCGGCGCGGCTCGGGCGACTACACCAGGAGGGACTCGAACGCCGCCTCGCCCAAGTCCAAAGGGTGAGGGGCGACGGCACGGTGCCGAAAAATAATTAGACGCGACGGCTTGCCTGCACCGAAAAATCAAGTGTGTGAATGTTGTCAACGACATTCGGACACCATGGAGGTACAAGTGTGAATTTCAAGGGAAAATTCACACCTTTACTCCCCTAAGCGTACGAATAGGTTTTCACACACCTACAAGTATACACTGTAAATCTGGACTCATTGTATGAGTCCATACACTGTAAATACGGGGTGTCCAGCAGGTAGGCGACAAAGTCGCCTGACCCCCAAAACTAGGCAACTTATGTCGACCATCTACTAGGCACCTTCTGATTTTCCGGATAGTTGCATGGGCACAATGGGTGGAATGCCTATGGACTCATACAATGAAATTACTCGGAAGACCAGGAGGTGTCCAGCAGATAGTCGACAGTCGACATAAGTGGCCTAGTTTCGCGGGTCGGACGACCTACCTGCTGGGCACCCCCGATTTACAGTGTACGATTGATGGGCATTTACACACCTACAAGTGTGTACAACAACATTCACGCACTTGACCTTCCGGTGCGCGGCGGCCGCTGCGGCGCGGCGTTTCGTCAGCGTCGCACTTTGCTCTCTTCATTATTCCCGTCGCGGCTTTCCGTCAATCAGTGCGGCGCCATTCGCTTGCCCAGATTGGGTAATGGCTTTCACTTCGTTAACGGCTTACCGCGCCACGCGGCCAATAAAGGAAGCCGTATAATAAAACGTCACAACTAATTAGCCGCTTGTTTTCCCTGCTGCTGCTGTCGCGGCGGCGCCGTCGCTTATCCGCTGACCTGGTGCGGCGCAGCGGCAGCTCAGCGTCATTAGATTTGTCGCTCCTGAACGCTCATCGTCGCCACCCCTCGCTGTCTTCGGACCCGAAGATGATTATGGGCGGAATGGAACGCGACATAATCATCGGCCGACTAATTTTGTTTGCTCCTTTCTCGCCTTTCCCTCCTTGATAATCTTCCGCCTGTCCTCGTCTTCCCTGGCTGCTTTTATCAATTACACTATAAATACTAACAACGATTAAAACAACGTTTTCGTTCGTAATTGCAGCGGCAGGAGAGACTCAACGGATAAGTCCCAGCCGCCGTCCGTGCCGCCGCCGGCCCCGCCGACCATCGTGCCGCCGCCGGTGCCGCCCCGGGAGTCCGCCCCGCAGCAGCGGGGGCAGCAGCAGCACGATCAGCACCAGCACCATCACCAGCCCCAGTACCGCACCACCGAGACCAGCACGGGCACAGGTGAGCTGCAGCTGCTGTGCCACTGCCGCAGCACGCAGCGCGGGGAAGCTGCAGCCGCAGCGGCCCTTCCGTATGGCCACGGAACGCAGCTGGAGACCTGCGGCAGCCCCCTACGCGGCCACGGCTCCGCCAGACTCTGCCTGCGCGGGGGATGTCGTCGCGACGCTCGCGAGGGGGGAGGGAGGGGGTTGTTTGGCGCACAGGGGGTAGCGCCGCGCCGTCGTGGCGCCGTGGCGGGGCAGCAGCGACGCCCCCAGCAGCAGGAAGCTGCGGAGTACTTCCGCGTGCCGATATACTCCGCCGCCGCGACACTGCTCGCTCGCCGAGTGGGCGACAGGGAGCGCCACCATGCCGCGCTGCTGGAGCAAGCAGGCAGCAGGGCTCACAGCGGGGCTCTGCCGTTGTTGGGGATGGAGGGGCTGGAGAGGCCGGAGGAAAAGGGGGAAAGGGGGGGCTAGGGGGTGGGAGGGTCCTTACTAATGAACGCCGCGTAGGTGATCCCCTGGAGTTACATTAGCGCGGCCCGGAGATAATTAACACTGTTTTTGGAGGAACGCGCGCGGCAGCAGCTGGAGCCGCGCGCTTGGAGGCTGG